TTTTTTCACCATATACCCCTGAGTTTTTTTTGTTTATTCACCATATACCCCTGAACTTTTTTAAGTTCATCATGTACCCCCAAGTTTTCACAAAAATACATCATATACCCTTGATGATTAATGATTCTTAACTTCGTCAGTCATTAGGATTAATTATGACCAGAAACCACCCTAAATAAATTCCCCTACACCCAAAACCACTCACATTCCTTACTACCACCCCCAAAACGACCCCAAATTTCCTTTTCTCATCCTCAAAATCAATCATACAGATATGGTTATGGAGATTTGGAGTGGTTTCGGGGGGTTAAAGAAAAGAGAGGAGTGGTTTCAAGGATGGGGGGGGGGGAATCTAAGGTAGTTTCGATGCATAATTAACTAAATTCTACTCATCTTGTTGTCATTAGGGATATATGGTGAATTTTTGAAACAACTCAGGAGTATAAGGTGAATTTGAAAATTTTCAGGGGTATATGGTGAATAAACAAAAAACTCAGGGGTATATAGTGAAAAAACCGTTTCATTAAACATTTCAATGCTTCATGTAAGAAACATGTATTATTACCCTAATAATTCCCATTTCACCACTGTAATTATTTTGTTTTCTTTTTTTTCCCCCTAAAACGAGTTGTTGATGCAGATGTTTAAATCATTTGTTCATTAATATGGGATTTTTGGATTACTTAATCCACTCAACAATTAGCTTTCTCTCACTTTTATAAGAGCAATTTTGATGTCAAGAACAATTAGCAGGGGTAATGACTTCTCCACACCATGACACTCACAACATCCACACGAGACAAATTGTACACCAAATTCCATTCATTTACACCAGAATCAAAATCCTTTAACCTCCAAAACTTCAACACATAATCTCCTTCTTTATACAACTCAATAAAATGAATATACCCTCCAGTCCCAAACATGTTTCGTTTGTCATCCAAATTCAGAGCATTATGTGGCTTCCTACACCCCTTAGGAAGTGGAATAAACCGACATCGAGCCTTCTCCTCCTCGTTCTCATCACCGCGAAAAGGGTCATCATCATCCCAACTAATCACCCCACAACTTAAATCAACCCAAAATAAACGTCCAGCAAACTCAAACACCTCTTCAGAATCCCAAATTCAGAGCATTATGTCTCGTGTGGATGTTGTGGTTAAAAAACAGTTGTATTATAGGAATTTAATCAGTGAATATTAATTTTACACCATCATTAAATAGCAATTAAAAGTCTGTAAACTCTGTGGTCCGAATACATAACTCCCCTACAATGGTTAATCGTACCACGCACGATTGAGATACCCTAGTTTCATTAAAATTTTCAATGCTTCATCAACCATATGCCCATAAGCTTAACATAAATTATAACCAGTCTACTAAGAGTCGATTATTCTAGTTAAAACCAATGCCAAAAAGATGGGTAGGTTACGTGAACCAAAAATTAACCAAGATAGCAAAGCAAAACATTCCCAAATCTCAAATTACATAGCACGCAAATTCAACAATTAAGTAATAAATCACAAGTTAACGATCCCAATTCTCAAAATTAAGAACGAACCCAATTCTCAAAATTATGAACAATCAACAAAAATCACAATTAGAGAGAGATGAGTAATCAAAACCTTGGCTTTAGCAAAAGCTTCTTCAGATTTTTGAAGGGTGTAAGACTTCTTCTTCTCATCAACAGAAACAGTCATTTTAACAACAAGAGGAGAATGGGAGCGAAGAGGGTGCTTAGATTTGGAAGAAGATGGTTTAATGGCGGAAAGCTTTGATGGCCATGTGATACCTACTCCTCCTGCAACACCTGCCATGGCTGCCTTTTAGCTTTCTCTCTCCTTGCGATTGCAGGAAGTCAAGATAAGGAATGAGATGAGCCACTTTCTTCACCAAAAAGATACAAGATGAATACGACGAAGCTTCAATAGAGTTTGCTGATTTTGTAAATTGGGCTTTCTTTTATTGTAATGTTGGGTTGGTATTTGTTTAGGCCGGTTACAAACGAAGTGAGTATATTTTTCACTTTTTTTTGTTAATAGTTGCAATTCATTATTCATGATAATTGAAGATTCTCTCTCGTCATAATTTTCTTGCTTGAATAGTTGCCTTATGGATAGTGATAGGGGTGAGAACGAACAAATATAAGATACCCTGAATCGCCGAATCGAAACTGAAACTTGTACAATAGGTTCTAGTTTCAGGTAGCAAAATAGGAAACTTGTTGCAATAGGTTTCGATTCAGGTTTTCAATTTTTTGTAACCCTTGTAACTTAATACCAATTCATACTCCCTCTATTCCAATATTGCATTTGTTCTAAAATTTCTATTTCTATTATTTTATTAATAATTATTTTGCTATAATATACCTGTTAAATCGAGTGACAATAAATATTGTACATCAATTGTGTAGATACCTGTATTAGAATGACAAAAAGTTATCCCGAGATAAATAAAAGTTATTCAATATGATAAAAGTTATTTATGTTTTATTTATAAAGTTGCTCTTAAGTAAAAAAATCAAATCTCAATAGGAAAAAATATCTAATTGTATTAAAATTACCCCAAATAAGTTTTTTTTTCTTTTAAATGTAGAAATCCTGTCTCTTTAAAATCAATCAAGGGCACATTATATATACGAAATACTATTAATTTCTTGATTTAGAAACACGAAAGAAATTCGATTATAATGTATTAATCCTTTATTTGTGCATACAACATAGAATAAACCTACTAAAATTGCAATTAAGTAACTCCAATCTAATTCCTTAAAAAAAAAAAAAAAAAATCTCCAATCTAAAGATGTTTCACAAGAAACTAGGCACAAAATAATCTACCGTCATCCTAGCTCTTGTTTTTTCATCTACCCCCTCTAACAAAGGCACCCTTTTGTCCCTCTTTCTTAGTTTAGGATCATAAACATCAATAAAGAAATCCTTAACACTTAGATTACGCGACGATGTCGTCAATAATATCATCTTGCCATCTTTAATCTCCGGAGTTAGAACGAAGTCTTCATTGATATCGAGTCCATCAATGAATGCAAAACAAGTTCATGAATTTACGACGTCGTACTCCTCCATAACCCACATCACCACACCTTTATTACCGATCCTTGAACCGCAGGCAGCACCCACACAAAGCATCTCCGCCTTCGGGTTTGTTTCACTAGGAGTATTACTAGTGCAAGGCGAAGAGATAAAATCAAACTTCTTTTGTCGATATTAAACCTTACTATCAAATTATCACAATCTACTAGCCAATGTAACGCACCATTCAATACAACAGACTTGCTTCGTATCGACGTTAATCCAAACAATTCCGTATCCATAACCTTCTAAGCACAATCACCTTCATCTCTAACTGTCATGACTTCCGCTGTAATTTTAGCACTAAGACCATGTCGATAACCTAACCTAACCACTTTTAATAGTCCAGTCTTGGAACCGTAACCCAACCCATGGTCAAGGTCCAGCCACGGAAATGTATTCATTTCTTCATGAAGGACCAAACAACGCCTCGTGATCGTATTCACAAGCCGGAACGTATCTAACCACGAATAAGGACGACTAGAATTGCGAACCAACAACAGTACGAAACCATTGCAAGAAGCCACAATTTCTCTAAAATCTAAGTTATAGAAACGAAACTCGTTTATTAGGTGATCATCAGGAATATAGTCAATCAAGGTGTAAGAATTTGCTACACCATTATAAGCTAAGAAAGTTGTATTTTTGGATGAATTATTATTATAATTATTGTTGATGTGGGATTGGACTAAACTAGGGAATATAGGGTCACAAAAAATATTGTCAAGTTTATGGGTATTGTGTGACAAAGGTTGACGACATTGTAACATTTTGGTAACTGGAAGTTTACTAGCAATATTTACAAGAATTTCAGTAGGCAATTGTTGTAACTTTGTGCCTAGTGATATTTGTGATTTTTTTGATGTCTTTTTTCCCTTGCTTGAAACTCGAAATACTCGTGCCAGCCACCATGCTTATACTATAGAGTTTTCTTAATCTCTTTCTTCTCGTGCTTGAGACTCGAACTACTCGTGCCACCATGCTTATATTATTGATTTTTCTTAGGTGTATTGGTTTGATGGAGGAAAAACTTTGGTAAATTAAAAAAATATGTGTTAGATTGGTTTTTAATCGAGGTTTTATGGTTTTGATGGGTAATTTATAAGAAGCAGTTTAACGAAAAACAAAACAGTTTTATTAAGATATATTTTAGGAAATATTTAGGAACATATTAGATTTGGTGAATATTAAGATTCACTAGGATATATTTTCCCATAATTATGTCTAGTTTCTTTTGCTAGCTGTACACGTTTTACAAACTCTTAAATGGACCTGGTTCACACTAATTTATTGTGGACCACTAACATGAGAGACACTATGATTGTTTTAAAAAGGTCACTATATTAAAATAAATTAAAGGTTATTATGTTGAAATAAAAGTCATTTTGGTATTATAAAGGCTATAAGAGGTTATTTTTTTTAATGAAATTTTTTTATATACAGAACAATATGAATGATAAAGTTCACTATGCTAAAGTTATAGTCACTATGTTTAATATAATGTCGTACTTCAGCTTCACGATAATATTAAAGGTCATATAAGTTTTAAAAAAGGTTGTCATGTTAAAAATAAAGTTACTACGTTAAAATTAGGGTCATTATGATCAATATAATTTTAATGTGTGCGTATAAATCTCACGTCGGCCAGGTCCAGGCCAATTTTTTTGAAAGTGTAGTACTCATGCTTTAGACCAGGTTATAGAAAAAAATTAAATTATATAGTAACATGAAAGTACGAAACTATGAAAATATAAACCTAAGGGCACATTATATTACTCCAATTACTTTATTTATAAACACAGAAAGAAATTTGATTGTAATGTATAAATGCAATAATTTGTGCATACGACTACATCAAAGAATTATCAACTAAAATATGAATTACATAATTCATTATAATTTGAAGATATTTCACAAGAAACTAGGCACAAAATAATCTACTGTCCCCCTTGCTCTTGTTTTTCCATCCACCCCCTCTAACAAAGGCACCCTTTTATCCCTCTTTCCTAGTTTAGGATCATAAACATCAATAAAGTAACCCTTAACACTTAGATTACGCGGCAATGTCGTCAATAATGTCATCTTGCCATCTTTAATCTCCAGAAATAGAACGAACTGCCCATTGATATCGAGTCCATCAATGATGGTAAAACAAGTCCATGACTTTTCGATTCCATACTCCTTCATCACCCATATCTCCGCACTTTTGTCATCGATAGCCAAACCACAAGGAGCACCCACACAAAGCAACCCATCCAATATGCCTAGATGAGAAACAATCACCAACTTCTCTTGGTCGATATCAAACCTTAGTATCAAATTATCATAATTTACTAGCCAATGTAACGCACCATTCAATACAACAGGCTTGCCTCGTATCGACGTAATTCCAATAGACCATTCCGTGTCCATAACCTCCCAAGCACAATCACCTTCATCCCTAACAGTCATGACTTCCGCCGTAATTTTGGCACTACCTTGTCGATGATACAACCTAACCACCTTAAATAGTCCAGTCTTGGAACTGTAACCCAATCCATAGTTAAGGTCCCGCCACGCTAGTGCATACGGTGCTTGAGGAAGGACCAAACAACGCCTCGTGATCGGATTCACCAGCCGCAAAGAAGCCGAAAACGAATTCAGACGACTAGAATTACCACGACGCATCAACGAGTGAAACAGTACCCAACCATTGCAAGAACCCACTACACAAAATTACCCAACATGGTACTAGTCTCATCTTCTGATCCAAGTATATAATCCAAGTTATCAAAACGAAAATTGCTTAGGTGATCAGGCCTATAGTCAAACAAGGTGCAAGAATTGGCTACACTATCATAAGCTAAGAAAGTTGTGTTTTTGTTATTGTTGTGAGATTGGAATAAACTAGGGAACATAGGGTCGGAAATAATGTTGTCAAATCCATGTTTTTTGTGTGACAAAGGTTGACTACATTGTAAAATTTTGGTAACGGGAAGTTTACTAGCAATTTGTACAAGAATTTCACTAGGCAATTGTTGTAGTTTTTTGATTATTGATCTCTGTGATTTTTTTGATATCTTCCTTCCCTTATTCGAAACTCGAACTCGTACCACCATTCTTAGATATATATACTATTGGTTTTTCTCAAGTATTTGGGTTTGATGGAAGAAAACTTTGGTAATAAACTGAAAATCTGTGTTTGATAGGTTTTTAATGATTTGATGGGTATTTATAAGTATTATAGAAGGATGTAGGTAGTTCTTAGGAAGTACTTGCAATAATGCAAGTTTAATTAGCAACTGACTATACTAGGCAAATATGTTTACTTATCCTACAAAAATAAAAGATACAAGTATATTTTTATTATTTTTATGAGTTAAAATAGGAAAGTTTATATCTAATTAACCGAGTAGAATTTACAATGATATTTTGATCAATATCATAGCCCAACATAGCCGACTCACTGCAAACCGACTATACTAATAAGGAAATTAAATATTTTTATTTGTTCTCAACAAAATAGTGACAGATAAATTTTTGCGATTATGAGGATAATATCTACCGATTCTAGATAATAATAATAATAATAAAAAAAAAAGGGAAAGTTTAGTTCTAATTAAGTAAATAGAATTTACAATGATATTTTGATCAAATATCAATCCCCACATAGCGGCATCTAAAATGTATCTACTACATTGTCGACTCACAAGCTTGTAAGACCCTATTCGGTTCACCTTTAAAAAAAAATATTTAGTAAAAATAAGTTATGTATAGTAAAATTAATTTAAGTTCAATTTTAGTTCGATATAAATAATTTCAATTTAGTAAAATTAATTTAAGTTAGTATTATTAATTTTAGTTTAATATAATTAATTTCAGTTTAGTAAAATTAATTTAAGTTCAGTATTATTAATTTAGTTAATTATTTTTGTAATTGTAATTGTAATTGTAGTTTATAAATTTATTAGATCTTTGTAATGATAATTGTGAATTTCGTTTTTTTTTTTTTTTTTTATTGAAATTCAGATCAAATATGCATGGTTTAGATCTTGTTTTTGTGGGAATTTTTGTTTTGGATTTTACGTTTTTTTTTCGATTTGGTACCTTTTTTTTCGTTTTTTTGGGTGGGAGGGTTAGGGGGTTGGTTAGGTGGGGTGGTGGTGGCTCGACAGCGTGGGGGTCTGGCAGGGGTGGGTGGGTGGGGTGTGGGAGGTTTGGACAGGGTGGGTAGGGTGGTGGAGGTTTGGACAGGGTGGGTAGGGTGGGGCTGTTTTTTTTTATTTTTTTTATTGATATTTCCGAAGGAATTTTCTGTCGGAATATACCACTTCCGACGGAATTTTTCGTCGGAATATACCTCTTCCGACGGAAAAACCTCTCCAACTCCGACGGAAATGTCCGTCGAAATATTGCGACGGAATTTCAATTAAAGTAAAATAGAGCGCTGACAGAATTATATCCGTCGGAAAAGGTCAAATTTCCTAAGAATGGTTTTGCGACAGACTGATTCCGACGGAATTCCGTCGGAAGACTAGTTTCCGACGGATTTTTTCCGTCGGAATCAAGCTCTTTTCTTGTAGTGAGATCAGTAACTTTAAAGAAGAAATATAATAGTAAATCAGTATAATTAATTTCAATTCAGCAAAATTAATTTTAATTTTATAAAAATAATTTCAGTCCAGGAAAAATAAATTAAGTTCAGCAAATATAATTTCAGTTTAGTAAAAATAATTTAAGTTAAACAAGAATTATTTCAGTTCTGTAAAATTAATTTCAGTTCAGCAACAATAAGGTGAAGTGAACATGACCTAAGTCATAAAATCCATTTGCTAATCTGATACTAAAGTTAGTTTTAGTTATTTAGCAATAGTGATTTACAAAATTTAACATAGTTAACATAGGGACCCTAATTTTAAAATGGTAACCTTATTTTTAACATAGTTTAATTCCGTAACCTTTATTAAAACTTGTCTAACCTTTATTATTATTGTGAACTTGAAATACGACGTTATGTTGAATAAAGTGACCCTTATTTTAACATATTGACCTTTATTATTATTCATATTGACTAGTATATTAGAAATTTCATTAAATAAATCTCTTATAGCCTTTATAATGCCACAATGACTTTTATTTCAACATAATTACCTTTATTTTGATATAGTGACTTTTTTTTATTATTACTTAAACAACCTTAATGTCTCTAATATTAGTAGTCCACAATAAATTAGTCTGAACCAAATCCATTTAAGAGTTTTTATTATGTAATTCCAATTAAGAATATTTGAAGGTCATCACAATCAAAGTAGCCAGGAAGTCCCAAATAATAATATTTGGAGTTTATTACAATCGAATTAGGTTATCCCAACTAAGGTTGTTAGTGTGTATGTATGCAATAACTAATACTCCGTAATATAAATGGAATAGAGAAGGTATTGGGTGCGGCAAGCCGCACCAAATCTTTCGTGCATCAAGTATATATGATATGTAGTATTTGATATAGGAATGTATTATTTGATAGAGGATGTAGAACTTGTTGGAGGATATGTGTTATTTGATAGAGGATACGTACAGTTTGTTGTATGATCACTAGTAGAAAAATAAAAATTAGCACCGAAGAAATAGCACCAGTTATTGTGGGCAAATACAATGACACCGATTAACCGATGCTATTTGCTTTAGAAAATGAAAAAAAGATAGCACCGGTTAACCGGTGCCAATTGCAACTTTATAAATTCTTACCCCCTCTCTTTTATCCGCCTCTCTATTTCATTCTCTCCCTCTCTAGGTCTGCTCTCCTTCTCTCTCATCTCTGGTTCTGCTCTCATCTCTCGTTATGCTCTCATCTCTCCTTCCTCTTTCGTTCCCATCTCGTTCTGCTCTCATCTCTCCTTCCTCTTGCATTCCCATATATTTCCGAGCACCGAGCCAGCAGTCGAGCACCGAGCCGCAATACGGTCAGACGTCCTAGAAAGTGTGAGGTCTTCGATTTTCGTAGCAATATTTACAAATATTTCAGTAGGCAATTGTTGTAACTTTGTGTTTAGTGATTTTTTTGATGTCTTTCTTCCCTTGCTTGAAACTCGAACTACTCGTGCCACCATGCTTATATTATAGAGTTTTCTTAACATCTTTCTTTTCTTGCTTGAAATTCGAACTAAGCGTGCCACCATGCTTATTTTATTGATTTTTCTTGTTAATAATTTAGAGTGTCGGAGTGGAGCGTTCGCTCTATAGAATCGCGCTCACGCCAGCTAGGCGCGACCCGCGTCAAAATCGCGCATAAACCGCGATGAGTTTCTGGAAAATCTGGAAAGTTAGGAGGCGCGCCCGCGCCTTTGGTTGGCGCGCCCGCATCATGGTATGGCACGACCCGCGCCCAAACTGCGCATAATTCGCGCTAACTTTCTGGATAAATCGAAGTTTTAGGCAAAGAAGGAGACGCGCCCGCGCGGGCAGGTGGCGCCCCCGCGCCCCATGGTGGCGCGCCCGCGCTGCTGTGGTGGCGCGCCCGCGCCTCTTCGCTCGCGCCCGCGCTTCTTGCCGTTTTGCGGTTTTATACGACGATTGATTCTATTTTATATAGAATGAGTTTTTCGAAAGCAAATATACAGAACATTATTCTCTGATATTCTCCCTAAGAAATTCTCCATAATTTCTCTCAAAAATCTTGCAAACTTTTGTGAGAAATCTTCTTGATTTTTGCCTTCTTTGTGAATTATTCATCATCAATTTGATTCTTAGTGCAAAGAACAATTGGGCTGACTTTTGTATCTCTAAGAGTATTTCCGGATCAAACCCAAGCACCATTGTGGGGGAAATTAAACTCTTTAGGAATGTATTCATACGCCTAAGTCAGTGTATCAAGGATTGAGACTCAAGTGGTCACCGGTTTTCCTCATGTTCATGTTGGTTGTTAAAGCTTGGAGTGGAGGCAAGTATATTATCTTTCACATCGTTTTTTCTGGAATACTTTGATATTTAGGTGTTTGGTTGTAATACATTGATTTGTTTTAGGATTGTTGTATAATATGATATTGATTATACACAGTTAGGTTTTGTTCCCATATTTATTAAAGTAGTTCTTGTTATTGAATTACTTGAAAACCTAACAATCTAAAGAGTTTAATCGAACTTAGCAAGCATGTCTAGTGTGAAAGAATTGACCACAAACTTTGTCAAACTCAAGAAGTTTGACGGTGTGGAGTTTCGGAGATGGAAGAAGATGTACTTTCTTATTACATCTTTGAATGTAGCCTATGTTATTAGTACTCCAAGACCTAGTGAACATGAGAATGAATCCTTGGAGAATGTTCGGGAAAGGTCAAAATGGGACAACGATGATTTTATTTGTCGTGGTCATATTTTGAATGGTATGGAGGATGATCTTTTTGATGTTTATCAAAATGTGGAGTCGGCCAAGGAGCTTTGGGAGTCTTTGGAGGGGAAATATATGGCTGAAGATGCTTCAAGTAAGAAGTTTTTAGTAAGTAATTTTAATAATTTTAAGTTTGTTGATGGTCGGTCCATAATTGACCAATTTCATGAATTACAACGAATCTATGGGAACTTGAAACAACATGGTATTTCTATGGATGAATTGTTTGTTGTTTCAAGTATAATTGACTAGTTACCTGCTAGTTGGAAAAATGTTAAGCATGAGCTTAAACACAAGAAATAGGACA